GTAGCAGCTGTAGTTATTTTAATGGAAACAATGTAAGAAGTCAGTTGAGTGACAAAATCTGCCTACGGAAGTTGTGGTGGATGTATCAGTCAGGAAAAGGTCTGCTGTTTGTGTCCGGTTTCGAACTGACAGTTGACATTGTTTATTTTTTAAGCATGACCTTGTGACTGTGTTTCCTTAACCAAGTGTTTGTCGTAGTAACCATGACGATAAAGGTCCAATAACTTTCATGAAATTAAAGCAATTGTTTCCTTAAACCTTACAAAATCATTTTAGTGCCTAAACAAAACCAAACCTTAATCACATCTCATCTTAAAGCTGATTTATTTTTGTTTACTGATTTTTAACAATTTTGGAATTTGTTGCACTAGAAGGCCTGGACAGTGTATTTTATAGTAGAAACAATAATAGATCCTCTACGTTAAAAGTAGCTTAACTATCAAATGCCTTCTCCTTAATGGTACTAAGGAGAATACCAGTAATACCATTGCAGTATCACCCACTTCAATTTCATACATAAGTTGCAATTCAGTAGGGAATCTGTGCATTGCCAGGTCATTCTGGTGAGGAGTTTTATTTGCCATTCAACTTTTTCTTATCTTCTTCTCACTGCTGATTTGTCATGAATGCACCTGTGCAGCCCCGCCAGGCAAATTTGCTCCTCAAATACCAGCTTTGCTCACATCAAACAATTATGACCCTGCCTGATCTGCCAACCCCTGTGCCCCAGAGATTCCCTCTGCAACACCTGTTGACGGTGTCCTTATCATTGACTAGCAGCACTTCCCCTGAGTGCAGCCGCACTATGTGTCAGTGACACTTGTGTCAAAGAATATAGGACCATTTATTGTAATAAATGGTTATGGTTATGCCTTTGGATGAGCAGCCTCTGCTCATGAGGGTGCTCTGCATTAAGAGCAGCTGTGAGAGTGGCAGAGGATCCAATAAAGCTCCCAAGAGCTGAGATATGGGCACACATAGTGCTAAAGGTAAGAGATGCCATTGTCAAGCACGGTAATAAAGGGGGGTTGATTGAAATCAATCAACACAACCAGTAACAGCTTGTGTAGTCTTTGTGGAGAGAAGATAGTTTAACCAGCAGCAGGGGCATAATAATCACAAGAATGACTGAAGGCTTGTCACTTTACAAAGGCCACCTCATTGACTGAACATGATTGATCACTTGTGTGAAGGTGAGAAGAGACCCTGACAGCAATCAGTCAACACTATACACAATTTGTGGTAGAGACGCATTCACCCCACCTACAATTTGTTGTATATTTACACACTGTAGTATTAATTATAACAACAGACATTCACATTAGCACATTTGTACTCCCATCAGAACACAAAGTGTCACATTTATCTCAACCTTCTGCAAGATGTATCAGAATGTTCAGTATGTATGGACAATGTTTAAACTTTGCATTAAAGGTCAGTCATTCTCGAGAAAGACAATTGATATCCAATCACTAGCTGGCCAGTGCAACCTTAAAGCTGCACTAACAGATTCTTTTTACCTCTTTAAAGGCAGTGATACAAACGTGAAACACAACATTGACCTACCTTATAGTAAATTATGGCTAAAATGTTAGCAAACCCTTGCCTGTTTTACACATCCAGCAGAAACAGATCAGCGTTAGCATTTATTTGGAGTTATGTTTTAGTCACCCAATGGATATAAGTCCAATATTCACTGTCCTTTTAGCTCTGTTTCGGTCTCTACCAACTTCTGAGGGAAATATCTTGGTCTTTAGCAGCTAGATTCTTCACGATGTTCACCAGCTACTCACTAACTTTGTCTGCTGTCTGTTGATTTATTAATTTTATGTATGTGATTTTTCAAAAGGTGACTTCTGTAATCAATATTTCTGATTTGAAGATTTAGAAAAACATCTTGGTGCCCTACATTTTGGCTGCAATGCCAAATACAAATACATTTATATTTATAATTTTTAATTAATGTCATTTTTGCTATAATACTTTTGACCTTAGTAACATGTGGAATGCAGAATTTGTAGTATTTTCAGTGGGGTATTAGTGCTTTTACTTGAAATGAGATTGAATCCTCAGTCATACTGTACCCCTATTTAACAATGTAGCAACAATTCAACTCAACTTCAATTTTTATATCAAAAAAACAATCATTTTGTCATCCTGTGCATGAATCAACCATATTCAACCAATCATATCCTGACATTTACCTGTCAATCGTTCTTCAACTTTTAGGAATACAGAGCTAAGATTCATTAGTTAGTGAACACAACCTCTGAGACAGACATAGGCCAGTTTGATGACAGAGGTGATTAATGGAGTTTCCGGATGGACTTGTTGCTAAAAGAAGATAACAGTAATATTAGAAGCAGTCAGCTAGTTAGTTTGTGCAGCTACCATTAGCTGACTCCCTGCCGTGCTGTTACATATAATAACGAGCTTGGGACTATGATCACCAATGTGACATTTTTAAACAAGCATTTATAGTAACCTTTAGTGCTTCTATTCTCATTGACATTTATCTGTTCGTAAGTGGAACATGCTGATTAGGGATCCTAATTCTTGCATAAATCTTGCATATTTGTCATCATAGATATTTTATACTGAGCTTTTTTTCATGGCCAATATTTGTCTCTCAATTTTCTGAAGAGGAAAATAACTTATTATTGGCATCTGTCTGTAATTGGTTGTGAGCAAGTGCATAATAACTTGTTTAAGCTGGAGTACTCTCTGTATGTGTGTGTTTGTGGTGGCTGAATGAGGTGGGACGGTCTGGGGAGCAAGTCATAACGTCAAACAGCCTCTGTGACACCGCAGGGAAATCAGTCTCTCACAGCTCTCCAAAAAAAAAGATGACTATGTTGCTGTATTTCTCTATGTGGGAAATGCTACTAGCAGACACATACCTCCGTCTGCTGTTTACTGCAGGAGAACTTCATTCACAGCAAGAAATGTCTGCATTTTCAAGGTTTAACAACAGGACTGTGAGATTTGATTTGAGAACACACTATGTACTGTTATCTAACTTTGGTTTCACTGTATGTGCATATTTAAAGGACCGGTGTGAAGGATTTAGTGGCATCTAGCAGCAAAGTTGCAGATTGCAATTAACACCGCTTGCATTTGTATTTGACGATCTGGGAATGAGAACGGGCTGAGAAGAGCGTCGGAGGAACTAGAAGAGCCAGTATTTTGGTTTATCCATTCTTAGCTAGACATACATGAAGGTACAGTTATCTCAGTAAAGAGAAATTAGGACTAATTGATTTGAAGCGTAAGATTTTATTGTTTCCTGTAACACACTGAGGTTTTAGCTGATACAATTCTCTGTCTTACTGTAGTTTATTCTCCTGCAGTAGCTCGTCACTATGATTTATATTTTAAACACAAAGGGAAAAGTGCACACAATAAACCACAAAAGCCGTAGGCCGATCTAGAATCTTCCAAAAAAAATGCTCACAAAGGCAGGCCATACAACTATTAGTTGTGAGACTGACAGCATTGTGCTTTGGTGCACTCAGTGAAATATGCTCAGACGTTTAGCCTGGCAGGGTTGAGCACATAACACAATTAATGCAAGGTGGGCAGGGGAGCCAGTGTCGGGCACGCTAGACAGGGCCTGACAAAAGGTTGAAAAGTTGGCTGCCATTTTGTAGCCTGCACGTGAGCTCAACAGAGACTGCAAGTCACTTAACAATCACTAAACTTATTGTCTCTATACTGTAGATATTTGATCCTCTTGTTACCTCCTGTAAAATATAGTGTAAGGCTTTAGTGAACTTTTTGTTCATAAAATCACTCTTCCCTACTGTCATACAGTATTCATATGGTAACAGATATAAGATATTATTAGCATTTACTGTGTGTATAAGCTACTGTACAACAGCATCAACATATACATGTGACTCTTTGTTTTAAACTAATTTGATGTCATTATGAGAACAATGTTTTGCTGGATATATTAGAACCATATTTTGTTTTTGTCACAAAGCCTTATATACATAAAGACTAGAAATCACAGTAGTTTCAGTCACTGAAATGTAACAGATTTAGAATTACTTATCTAAGACAAATATTCATGAACCACATAAATGATTTGGCTTATGTCATCAGTTAATTGCTGTATTCTTGACAAACACTAAACTTGCTCTTGTTCCGCTCTTTACTTGGACACAATTCAGATGGTCTTGAGTGTAGTACAGTGTCATAAATAAGCTTTTACCCTTAAGGCCACTAGTTTTAAAGTGGTAAACTTGACGACTTATCAGCAGAGTGGTTCGATTAGCTCACAAATATGACTCAGCAAAAGGTGGTAAATGGAGCTGTGGTGAGCTGTGTACTGTGCAAATCTAAGCTACAACCTACTGATACTGTAACATGAACTTTTATCACATGGCACTACATTAGTATTCCAAAATATGGTCACTTAATGTGTAATTTCAAGTGCTGTGTGCCGTAATATCAGTAAAATGAACCTATTTAAAGAGTCTGGTATGTATGGTGACCTTTTCATATTTTAAATCCTCTCAACTGATACAATATATCAGAATATACTGTCAAAAATATATTATAATTTTTGTCCTCATATCATTAGCAATGCACAGTACTTTATGTTGTACTCATGGGAGCTTATTATGGTATCACGAATATAATAATGTATGTTAAACAGTCCCAGATCCATATCCATATGCTCTCCACAAAGTGCTGAGTACTCAGCCGATTCTGTACTGCCCTCAATCTAGAGGCCCTAACATGAGAAACAAATTCAAAGTGACAAGTCACCCTTTTCACATTTGCTACTATGTTCACCTGCACGGACACAATACAAACAAACATTGCAGCATACACAGAAAAATCCAGCTCTAGAAACTTAAAAACAGGGTGGCTAGTCAAGTTTCAACCACAACAAAGGCATACCACTGCCATCAGCTGTTTCACCAAAAGTGTTTTGTGGCTACGACAACCCACTTTTATCCATTGGAGTAAATTCCTGTCTTTTAAGTTTGTTTGTTTTTTTTTTTTTTTTTTAGTCTTTAAACTCCACTTCCAAACCCATCAGGTTAAAGTTTGTCTGTTATTATGGTGCCTGTGATGAATGAGGCAAATCAACAGTAGACAAATATAACATAGTATTTAGAACTAGGCACTTAGTCCACAAGGCAATTGCATCACCATCATTCACAAGGAAAAACAACTGACAGCAAAATATAAAACATAATTTTAGAATTACATAGCAAGTTTCTATCTTTTTTTAAGCTACATAATGACTTCTAAGTTTTCACATATGCCCCGCTCTGAGCATGCCTTGGTCCACTGTGACAAGAGATAACTGTATGCTTCTTTTGGTGTTTTTTTAGTATAGCTATGGAGGTATTTACAATTAAATAATGTAATGTAATGTAAGTTTACTCACAGTCATGGGTGAAGCTTATATAATGCTACACTATATAACCTGTTTTTCCACTCCACATTACTGTCCCTATGAGCACAGATTTGGCCTACAGGCAAAGGATGTGGGGTGCTATGTTGCCGTAGAAACAGTTTCTTCTGGATTGTGCCTGCATCCATCTGCCTCAGCAGGTTCCCATGGTGCTGACTGTAGTGTAGCTGAACTTGGACATGGACGCTCCCGTTGCCATAACGTCCTCCTCGTTGTCCCGTAGCCCACGGCGACGATGGCGGTGGCAAGGTGCAGCACAGCACGAGAACGTGGCAAGCAGAGCTTTTCGGAAACGGGTGTTCATGAAGCAGTAAATAATTGGGTTGACGCAGGCGGACGTGTAGCACAACAAATGGATAAAAGCGATGGGTGCACCTGAGAGGGCATGTTTTGCAGAGAGGTCATCGAAAGCCCGCCAGGTGTTGGCACAGTACAGTGGCATCCAGCAGAGAAAGAACAGGACAACAATGACCACCAGCATGCGGATCACTCGCTTCTTGGCCTCCAGCTTGGCCTCAGACGTGTTGCTGCGTGGTCTTTCTGCCTTGACTGCCCTGCTTGATGCAGCCATGGTGGACATCTCCACCGAGTGCGGCCGCTGGACGACATTAACATAGCAACCATCTCCATCGTCACTGCCAGCAGACACAGTGGAGGTCAGTCCATTCTTCACATCTGTATGAAAGAGCAGAGTAAACAAGTTTTTCTATAAATTAAATATAACAAAAGTTCATACTTTAGTATTGTATTTAAAACTTAATCCCCTAATATGTGAGTAATGTGTCAATTTTGCAACACTTTATGCTTTTGCTTTACTTTGTAGACATTGTTTAGGGCCAGATATACACCCCATACTCCATACCATACTATCAATACTAAGTCTTATTTCAAGCATCAGTACTGCTTCTGTGCCTGCCTGACTTTTTGGCTCCATTTTTTTAGTCCCTTCCTGAGTATTTTTCATATATTTGACTAATATTTCTGCCACTAAAAAATATTTGACCAGGGAAACTGTGTGCTGTGCCACATCCAGTTAATTTCTAGAACTCTTAAGTTAACAAATAAGCCAAAAAACCCACAGCTCTGTGATAACACATGCACCAATTTGTGAGGTTTGTTTTGAGTGAATCATAGCTCTTAAAGAGCAGCAGCTCACCTTAATGGAAAGAAGAGTGACTAGCAATTCTTGCTGAGCCACAGTAATCATCCATCAGGGGATATTGCAATTTATTGATAAAAATCTAATCGTCTAGCTTTGCTTCTACAAAGGACAAAGTACACTGAGTATAGTAATAAGAGCCGTATGTCAAGCAAATACAAACAGGAACTGTAGAGAGAGTATAGCCAAATTGCTAAGCCACTCCTGGTTTATTAAATCAAACACATTTTCCAAGAGGCTATTTTAGAAGTTCATTATCCTTTTCCCCCTTGATTTTCTGTTTGTTTATTTTTTCACCTCATGCTCTTTGTCTCTCAAGCTCTTTTTTTTTACAACCTTTTTCTCTCTGAGACCAAACAGATGGTGATGTCCAGGCCCGCAGCTGCCAGCCAATTCCATCCTCTAATGGAGCACCAGCAAACACAGTCCATGCTGCTATCATCCCAGACTCACTCTCATGCCCACAAAAGGTTATGTTTCACTTAACCTGCACACATTACAATGATTGTAGTGCTAAAGAAATCGTTGTCATTAAAAACAAATTGCTCATTATTCGCATAAATCATGTAAAAGAAATGGAAATGCTAACATTTCCAGCCTGGTGCTCAATAGTGCGATTGCAATCAAAACATAATTAAAGTCAAATATGCAATACTGCTTGATAAGAAACATTTATATATTTACAATATGTCCAAATTATAATATAAAGATACTACTGTGCTGAACGGGTCAGAAATTGTCAATGCTGTGTTTAAAAATTATTACTCTGAGGTCAATAGAAAGCTTTTGAATCAGAGTTTTGTGGCCAGCGATCTGGTGCATGTTGAGGTAACTGCATTATCGCCAAAGACAGAAACAGGATTGACAAGTTTATTTAAAGGTTCAGTGTGTATGATTTAGTGGCATCTAGCAGTGTAGTTGCAGAATATAAGCAGCCATATCTAGAGCCAGGGTTTGGTTTGTCCCTTCTGGGCTACTGTAGAAAGATGGCAGTTCAACATGGACATGGAAGGTGACCCGAGGCGTCAGTAGATAAAAAAAAAACATTCAAGGTAACAACAACATAACGATTCTTATTTTCAGGTGATTATACACTAATGAAAACATACCTATGCATATTATATTCTACTTCTGCCAATAGATCCTCCTTTCCTTGATTCCTAACCTTTTTTAAAGGCTTCATTTCATTTAATGTATATTTTCAGGTGCATAACTTTATTAATTTAATGTATTTATTAATTGATACAACTGTATTAAACACATTGTTTTTGGTTTTTTTTTATTAGTGTAATAAACAATAATAATTGATTCAATTACTGTACTGTAGTAACACCCTCATACAGTATGTTTAATAGTTGAAGTATTATTTTCCTAAATTCTTTCATCCATCCCCATCCCTTCTCTCCTCTGAGGTTGGGTTATTAGGTTAAATACACATGGGATCATATGTTGACCAACAAATTTACTAGAAAAAGTTTAACCATCTTGAATCTGATGTGCAGGTTGGGTCATCTCAATTTGAAAAACAAATACCTACTGGGAAGAATTGTAAATGCATGCATTTAAAGTCACTATTAATTTATAAAATTAATTTTCTTCAATCAGGACAGTTCTACCCGACGTGGCACTAACAGATACATATATGAGCTATATTTCATTAGCTATTGGCTTTTTAAACAAAATGTAATTTGGCCTGAAACTAGCTGTAGATGTGAGTGAGGGGTACTATCCTATTCTTTCTGCTCTGTCTAGGTGGTTTTGGTGACAGTGTATGTTTCTATTTACTTATCGCTGTACTTTTGTGTACTTTATTATTCACTGCTGCCTGTGAGCCAAATTGCCCCCTGGGACTTTAATTAAAGCTTACTATTAGTATCTTTGTCACATGTAGTGATCATGGCCTCACCAGTAGAGTCTTTTTTCTGGCCCATCTCAAAGTGAATGCCTCTATAAAGTTCCCTGGAGATAAGTCCATAGGCCACAATCATCACCAACCCTGGGATTGCAAACAGCACAAGCAGTAGCAGAATGTACCTAAAAGAGACACATGAGAGAGGTTAAGATCCTGATGTCCATGCATGTAGATAATGGTGCATCCAGGCACTCATGCAGTCCCAGTTTGTGCCTCTCATATATTAATATATTACCATGACCTGAACCTGATCTTTGAAAAACCCAGAATGTCGTCCAGCAAAATGCACTGTATTTTCCAGAATCCTCAATGACTCTTCAAACTATCTAGATTAAATAAGATCCCATCCACTGTGTGATAAATATTCAACTCTGTTCCCAAGTTGCAGTTCCTTCCCAATCCAAACAAAAATGTTGGCATTATGTCCTTGCTCAGTTTGTGCAATGTGAATCAAAATTACAACAGTGTACACCAGTTTAATCTATACTAATGTGACTGTTTCATATTATCATACAAATGAACATTTTTATATTTTTAGTGTTATATCTTTATTGTCGCTCTCTCTCCACCATGGTGTTTTATTAAACATAAAAATAACCATATATATAGCATTCTTTCATTCAAATGGTAAGTCTTTAGGGGCTCTGGAAATATCAGCTGTAAATGTTGAGAAATTACCCTTTGGAGTTTTTCAAAGATCGCAGGTGATTAAAAAGAACAATGCTTTGCTCTGTGAATCTTATGGTCAAATATAGAGATACAAAGTGGGTCTAGTAGCCATGCACAAATGTATTCACCCATAAGCAAGCCTCAGATAAGATAAGGACATATAATCAAACACAAAAGAAAAATCAAGCACAAATACAAAAACATTTTTAATTTTCAACTGTGCGCGAATTCACACAGATATACACAGAGTTGACTGAAATTAGCCCAAAGCCTGTTCCATCCTAAGTCCAAACCTCCGTCTGTTACTACAAAAACTACAAAATAAAAAACCTAACAAGACTCAAAAACCATAACACCGTCTGGTCTCTTTATCTCCCCTAATGTTTCCACAAAAACATGCAACATAAAGTGAGAGCTGCTAAAAACAGGCTCTACATCCAAACATGGAAGTAAATGAGATGTTTCAATGTAGCATGCCTTGTTGAAAGTACACACACACACCTCAGACACAGTTCGTCTAAAGTTTATTTGATGCAAAACAGCACATTGTCCAGACGGCAAGCAGTGGGAGACTGGGAAAAAGATGGATGATCTGACTGCAGGTTTTATGATGAGTGGAATTTTGTGTGCTGCAGTGTGCTGGGTTACAACGAAAATTTACAACACTGTTTTTTATTATTTTCCCCATGAACAAAACCACCAATTGCCCAACTTTTATGTGAATCTGTTTGGATTACCTGTCACTGCTAGAAGAAAACCCATTTCTCATTACAACAAGATAAATCGGTTTGCCGTTATAACAGGAAACACACGTAATAACAAGAAATGGATCCAATTAAAGCCTAAGGAGAGGACATTGTGGAGTATAGACACTGAAGGAACTGTGCATGTATGTGTGCGCTCACTAATCTCTGTTTGTTCTTTTATTGATTTTGTGCTTTATAATCTGTCAATGAGATGTACTGAGCAGTGAATGGTTTTATAGGACCACGGTGGCATGCACATTACTGTGAGTAATGTGATGACTGTTCAGGATTTTGTTGCTAAGGTTCACAACCATTCATAAATATAAACAGAATTCCATTTCTGACTGACATTTCATGTAATGTGAGTAATTCAACGTTAAAATTACCTTGAATTTGGTTGCTGATACAAAAAAATATATTTTTTAAGTTCTCAGTTAAATCTACAGTTTCCCTGAAAATAACTATCAATGTGTACAATAACTGACCACATACCTTCATCTGGGAGTAAGTGTTTCTATCATGCAGCTCTCTATGTACTTCCAGTGGATCAATAACAAATGATGCTACCTGAGACTGTTTTCTTTTCTTCTGTATACTCCCATACATTTTAATATGCAACATAGCATGCAGGATACTCTATTGTCTGAAATAAAGGCAAATCCATTTAAAAACCATTTAAAACCCAAACACTCACCAGGCCTGCTCTGCCGTTGCGAGGGGCCACTTGTGGCGACACTGGTGAGCAGTGGTGTTGTCAGGACGCTGAAAAGACTCCAAGTGACTGATGATTGGATAGGGGATCATGATGATGAAGGCCAGCACCCATGTAGCAGCAATCACCCGATAGGCATGGGACCTGGTCTGCCATACCCGTGACTTCAGGGGGTTACAGATAGCGCTGTAGCGCTCAATCGCTATGGCAACTAGGCTAAAAGTTGAGATGCTCACTGATATGCCTGCCGGAAAACAAAACAGATTATTTGAAAAGTAAGTAAACAGGCATGCTACTGTCTGTACACAAATATCTTGTCTTATGATGAATGAAAAGTTATTACCGCTTTGCGCTCAGAATAGAGTTTGGAGTAATACAAAGCAACAAAAACATGTTTGTTGATGTGTAGCTACGTAATATCTGCAATAATAACAGAGAACAAAATGCGGTCCTCTGTAGAGATGCGCTTGCAAATGAATATAGTGTGAGGCGGAAGGTGGGGATGGTTATCTGTGTCCTAGAAGAAATCATGTGGGCTAGGCCACTGATGTGATCAGCCGTCTCCCTTCTGACAGACCAAGACGGGAAATTACTCTTTACCTCTCCTATTCATGTCCTCAGCCAGAATACAAACTGTGTGTGTGCCTGTGTGAGTCAGGACCCAGGGATGCACTGTGTTGTCTGTACCTAGGAGGGCAGCTTTTCCAGCAGATCCCACAGAAGCACAGAACAATCAGCCAACAGTCTCTCCCCTGGGTTCATCCACTTTTCCTCAGCGCATCGTAATGAAGGCTCTCCATTCAGAGGCCATGTGCTTAGATTTAATCCACCTTTTCATTTTCTTAGATGTTTTTTCTTCCAACCTAAGCACGATTTTCCTGTTCTGCTCTGTTCCTGTTAATTTTATTTATCTGTTTCACATCACAATCATTTTGTTGTTATTCTCTCTGTCACTAACTTTGTTTATCTTTAATCTTTTATTTATTCTACAATAACTCTGTCTCTTTATTTTCTTTGTGTGCTGCAAAAGTCAATAACTAAGGTCATTCACTTACTCAAATATAGTAAGAACAATTGTGAAGTTTTTGTACTTTACTTTCCATTGAATGCTACTTCATACTACATACTCCACTAAATACATAAATATTGACAGCTACACCATATATTATATTGAATTTCTGCCAATAGATCCTCCTAAATGTTACACACTAGACTAGACATCAGCAACTGTGGCGACAATTTGCAGAACCGTAACACATATCAGTTACATTACTTGCTGTGTCGTTGTTTGCACTGTATCATGGCATTGTATTGGATTTAATTTTGGATGCAGGACTTTTACATGCAAGGAAGTATTTTTAAGTTATATGACTAAACTTTTATTAAAATAAATAGTTTTGGATCAGATGCTTATTTGCTTCACTGCCAATAGTTAGATGATGATCAGTAACTCTGATGTCTGTAAATATGAATCTATGGACAGCAGCAGATTAGCTTAGCATAAACACTGGAAATGGGGGAAATGCTAGCCTCACTCTCCAGGAAATCAAGCACATTACTTACATTACTTTACCCTCTTTGTATGGATTAAACAGGCCAAATTACATATGTAAAGTAATAAAGCATAGCGTTAGTTCAGGCAAAGCACTGAAGTCACATTTGTATCAGCTCATCGGCATCAGCGGTCTCACTATAACTGGCTAATGGATGCATCATAGGTTTTGCTACCAGGTATCATAAGTGTTAAGTGGCATCGCTGCTGGGATTAATTGAAAGCTCCCTCAATTAGAAGAGCATGTTCCGGGAGTGTCATATAAAGTAAATATTAGAGGCACAAACACATCCCATTGGGAATCCACAACCGCCCACAAATGGGATAGATGAGTCTGTGGTCTGTTGATGTGATACTGTTAAACAAGAGAGATGGAATCTGAAGGATTTGCCAAGGACCTACCATTGCAAATGTAATACAATTGATCAAGGCACCATTTTTAGAGAAAGATATTCCGATCCAATTTTTTTTCTGGTATCAGTGTATTTGTTATGGGTGTGGTCAACGCCCACCCCTTGCAGTTAACTCTGCTTAGTCAAAACAAAGTGATTATCATATATTATATGTCTAGATACACTAGGGTAGGGGTGCTGTCATTTATTTTGGTAAGTACTCGTAGCTAGTGCCTTTTATTTCAATTTCTTTGATTTGAACAAGACCCATTCCTTTGTAGTTTTGCCTTACCTGTTTCCTTTTGTATAAGATCTCTAATTTCCGTAAAATAAATAACTTACCATTAAAATCTGGTTATGTTGCTTCCCTATCCCCTTATTCGAGCTGGGCTGTAACAGCATTTAAGCAGGTATTTCTGTATATTGACATTAATCCTGAACTTCCATTTTCCATAAAAATATTCCAAACCTGTTTTTCCATATTTTGACTGAAATTCCCATCGGCAGACTTACTTCTAACCCTAATCATCCCAAAGCATTGAAGTATGGCTGAGCTGAGTTAGATCAGATATGAATGGAGTTGGCCACAGAAAACATTTATGCTGTAAGGCAAAGGTTACAGGAAAAAGATTATCCCTTACATTGTACAGATGGCTGTATAGCCATGCTCATAAAACAGTTTTAATATCAGTCTTTACCACATAGCACTAAATCCTTAAATCCTATCATATAAAGATTATAATGAAACAGTTATTTATCAGATACAGATTGTCTTCAGGCTGCTTAGTTGACCAACAATGTAATCGGCATCAACATCAGATATTGATTTAACCCAATAACACCAAAAACACAGATGGATTTCACTGGTCTAAATTCTCTGTAAATCACTGGATTACCTTGAACATAGTTTGATTCATATACTGAAATCACTGTAAAATAGTAACTGTACTAAAAGACTTCAATAAATGAATGAGTACGAGTATCATTAAATGGGAAGATGAGAATTATCCTGCATCCAGACACTAATAAAAGCTAATAAAGTGTTTGAGGAAGCAATTGTTTTTACGAGAATTGTTTTAAACTGAGCTCTTAGTGATGTTAAAAAAAACCTTTTTTTAATTTGACTTTGTTCACTTCGATTCTTAACATTTAATAAATGGATGAGCATTAATATGAAAGAAAGTAAAAGAAACCCTATATGAGAACAAGTTCTTATGACAAATTATTCTGTATATCTTCTGGGCAATAGATGCTCCGAACAAGGTATTTGACTAATCATGTGAATTTGGCAGTATGGAAAGTGTGTCCAGAGCTGTGTCCAAATCCCTCACTATATTTGTTAACTTGTGCTTCCCCTTCGCATGCTCTTTCTATTTCCTGCAAAAACTCAAATTCCAGCAATCAAGCAAAAAGAAAGTAGTGTCTGAAGTAAGTATGTATCTGAAATATCAATTTACTGCTCAATAGTAAACTATAGAATGTATGTTACAGTAATAGTGAATAGGGGAACAAGGAAGGGATTGTGGACATTGGTACATTATTATAATGGCATGGCAATTTTTTATCTTGCCTTCTCATCACTAATCAACCCCTGCTTTGCCCTGTCTCTCACCCATGAGGTAGGACACTATCTTGCACATGGCAGCACCAAAGATGAAGTCCTTGAGGATGCTGGGGATGAGGGTGAAGGGCATGCAGAAGACGGCCATCATCAGGTCACTGACAGCGAGCGACAGCAGGAAGGTGTTGGTCACGGTGCGCATGCGTTTATTGACGGTCAGCACCACAATGATCAGCAGGTTGCCAATTACACTCAGGAAGAAGATGAGTGAGTAGAGCAGGATCCGCAGTGTGTGGTCCCCATCTAGCAAAGAAAAAGAACCAACACGGAACCAACTCATCAGCTGTGTTTTACATGATGATCAATATGTTCACACTCTCTTCATTGATTCCAACAGGCTCAAGCTGATAGTGCTGTGTATAACTATTTCTCATAGCTGCTCATTTTCCTCTGTGTTTGTGTGTTTAGTACTGTAATGGCAATTTTTAAGAACCTATACAACCCTTTGACCTGGTCATTGTAAAACCATACGCAACTGTTAAAGAGGCTATTACATGCATATAACCTTTAGCCCTGTTTCTAACTACACTCTATGTCCAAGTAAACAGCGGGATGTTGAGACTTCACAAAGAAGCCAAGGACCTGATCATCTCACCACACTATCTGTCTGTTTACTGTCCCAGAACTCAGGAATGTGTAACTGTGTGCTCCAACAGGGATAAAACCATAGTGCTTCTTCCAATCGGGGCTTTCGGACTTTCACATAAGAGAGTGTGTGACGGTTGCATTGAGACCATTCATGGATGACTTAAATAAAACCTTACAGAAAGACAAGATCATACTTTGTATGCTTTATTAAACAAATTGCCACCATAGTACACAGGCTGTACCGGCACCTGTTGATGAACAGTCTCTAAAAACAAAACTCCACCTTGTCACATTCCCTGAGCCAGTTTGTGACACTGTTGTACAGTAGCTCAGTACCCTTCTTGAAAATAATGCAATGCTAGACTTTGACTACCATAATCTCTGGTGTTACAGTAATAAAATGTCAGTTGCATCAGCTGTTTTACTGTTTATTATGAGTGGGCAGGTAAATAAACCCACACAATGCCGAAAAGGAAGACTGAGGTTTGAAACTGACATTCCTAATTTTATTGTCAGTTGACATTTTCTCATGTTGAAGGTGGTATGTCCACCTGGTGGGTCCTATAGGTAACACACAGTCTGTGGCCTTTAGTCTGACAGTTGATGATCACTAGGTGACCCAGAAAAGTACCTGGACTCTCAAGTACTACAGTATACTGTCTCCAGAGGTTTTAGCATACTAAATAACCAACTTCACTTGGAGAACATCTGTATAGGACACAGCGACTGAAATAAGATTTAAAGTAAAAAGTAAAACCCAGGCTGTACAAATATTTACATTACATGTACACTAATACACAAAAAATATAATAATAATGAATAAAGGCACTTGAGTACAAGCAATGTTGCAAGTTGCAAAGCCACTAAAGTCACTATGTGTTAACGCAATATTATATATATATACATAGAATCAAAAGTTCATATCATATATAACACCATCTCACTTTAATTATACATTTGTATGCATATGTAGTTCAATCCAATTCAATTTTATTTGTATTGCACATAATCATAACAGAACTTATCTCAGGACAGTTTTCATGTAGAGCATATATATTATATAACAATATATAACTCTCTGAAAGGGACTATCCTGCCCAATGGCGGTTCTATCTTGAATGACACCCTGGGCAAGACCCCCATTTGATACTACTAATACTTTAAATTAAATATTGAATTTTACATGTAAAAGAGTATTTTAACTGGTTATGGTCTTAACTTAATTTTGAGGTCTCTATATAGATAGATAGATAGATAGATAGATAGATAGATAGATAGATAGATAGATAGATAGATAGATAGATAGATAGATACTTTATTTATCCCGAGGGAAATTCAAGGATGAAATATGACCTACCTAAGCACAGGAGACCATCAGCAAGAAGATTGGCTATTTCTGATTGTATTCTTGAAGTTGTATTGCTTAAAGCTATTCTTAATGTCTGCAACCGGGTGGGATTCCCGTTGAAATCAATGAAAAGAGGAGATAGAAACACTACCGTGTCCACGGGGGCCGCCAGAATCCACAAAAAATAAAAGTTCTTTGTTGCTGCTTTAAGCAAAAAATATGAGTGCTTCCTACATCACTGCTTTTAGCTGGTACATAGGCAGCCCACCACAACCAATTACTATTAATTAGAGCCATGTTTTCAGTCCTTCAGAGCCACTTGTAGCAGTTTCTCTGCTGTGTACCAAATTTGGGTATTCAGCCTATATTTTCCACCCTCAACGTTGAGCCCTTCACACAAAGTACAAAATACTGTACCCTGCAGCCCAAAGCGTGTCTGTGCCCTCAGCCATCAGCAGCTTCACTGGATCATGCCCTTTAAAGTCCATGGCATCTGCTTTCTCTGTTATCTTCACCCTACCCACTGCTTAGACACAACACTTTTTAACGGGTTACCTACTGTGTCTGTATCCGGAGGATTAGAAGCACCCATGTGCACCACATCCACAGGACACAAATCACATCACACAAATAAGCCCAGAGTCCATTGACACAGTAGAAGCATGTGCAACCAAACATACTGAAGCCTTAATCCCCTGAAAATACACCACCAACAGTTCCTTGAACACACTGGTAAATTAGGTTATTTTCGTAGTGTATTATAATCTTCAGGTGTCTTTAGCTTTTTCCATCTCACAAGTCTTCTGGATTTTTGCCCTGTTTGCTTTATTTCTCTGTCTATTTCCTTTCATCCCATTGTCCATTAAAAATAGAAAGCTTTAAAAAAAAAAAAAAACAGCAACATAGCAGCAAAGCCAGGCACACACCTATGATTTTTAGTCAAATTTTTATCATGTAAAAAATCCCTAAAATCCCTGAAAAAGCAGCATTTCAGTTTGTGCAACAGTAAGTTTTGACCTCTGAATGTTTTTATTTGTTTAGAATCAGTTATAATTACCCCGTCATTGATTCATGTTTTCTAGCTGGTCAATGCTCGTAAATGTTCAATGTGTAACATTAAGGAAGATGAAATAGAAGATTCATAACTATGTTTTAATTAGTGTATAATCAGTGTATAATCAGTCAAAAGTGAGTCCGCCATGTTGAACTTCCATGTTTCTACAGTAGCCCAGAATGGACAAACCAAGCACTGGTTGTAGATAGGGCCTTTTGTGTTTTTCACAAGTTTTTCAGCCACCGTAGTTTCTCGTACACACTGCACAGCCCATTTTCATTTCCAGGTTATCACACATACACGAGCAGTGTTTAGTTAGTTGCAATCTGAAACTTCTCCAGTAGATGTCATTTAATCCTACACACTGGTCCTTTGAGGTTATTCTATAAGCGATCACATCTCACTGACTCTCAGCATCACAAATGGGATTAAAAACACAAAACATAATATCCATAATTCCTTTGGCCTGTGTCACATCTGTTCAAAGCTATCCTGATGACTCATATTGATTTACAGTAATCCACCTGGGATGTAAAGGAATTGTGCACCACTCTGTTTATCAAAAAGCAGCATTAAGTTCAGGTCGAGCGGTAAAAATCTGAACATTACCGCTGGTATGAAGTTAAATTAAAACATCAAAGATGGGATTTGGCAAATCCATATGTGCAGATTTGTGCTTCACATATGAAAGTAGGATGATGGCATGTCACTTAATCTATTGAATTATCTTGTATCCACCCATCCACAATGTTTATGTATAAATTGCAGGCTCTGAATTTAGGCTCTGCTTGCTCTGAAAAAGTCAGTAAATGAGTCTGTCTTCCTCTGTCTTGCTCTCATCTCTCTCCTTAAGAAACACACACACACACACACACACACACACACACACACACACACACACACACACACACACACACACATACACTTAGTCTTCCCATCTAATGACACAAGGCTTCACCATCTGTCTCACACTCACTCCTATGCAAATAAAAAGCAGTAACATCTAATATGGTGGGTACTGCTCTGCTGACAGAAAATCAGGGTTTCTTCACCAGAACAGGCTTGCAAATGGCTGCAACTAAAAGTGTTTAATTTTGTGCATGAGCATAATGAAAATGTGCAGCAGTTGATTGGTAAGAGAGAGGAACCAACGCTCTCTCCTTTATTACTGCCTCTCTCTCTCGCCTAATGAAATATGTTACACTGGCTTCTTCCTAATCGAAGCCAATTAGCTTTCCCGCGTCCTCTCTGGCTGTGCAGGAAGCACTGATAACTCCCTCAGTACATTTACACAGTTCCTTCAGGCTAGCATATCCTGCTCATGTGTAGAGCGGAGGCAGTCGTTTAATCACTTTTCTCACCTAGACTCTACCTGTACTCATTGGCCAATGTGCCACACAAGTTAAGATTTCTGCCATTTAAAGTAGAGCATTCTTACAATGTTTTCGGTTCTGCAGCCTCACTGGACTGATTTCAAGCTGATGTATGAAACTACTGTGTTGAACAAGACTGTTTGAATCCTGTAATTATTATTCTCAGCATATATTTAATATGTTTTCTTCTCTGAAAAGCTGCACAGTTGGTATGATACATAGTTTCTCTACCAGCTTTTATACTGTTGCAAAGCATGATTTATCATCAATAGGTTCTTGTGAATGTTTCTTGAACAGACAATCTAATTTGGGTTGTGAGCATTTGCATTGCATTTAAGCATCTTTCAGCCCTTTGTTTTGATTTTACAGCTCATGTCTTTTTCATTTTAATTCAGTCTCATTCCTCATTTGTATCTTTTCTAGATGCATCAGACAGCAGTTTACTTCTAAAAAGCCTAATAAACCCACTACACCAAACAGCAGATAGATACATGTAGTGACTAGTGAACATAGTTGGGCATTTACCAGATTAAACAAGATTTATACTTCTAAATACTACACTTCCAAATGAATGTTAATGTTGATCTGTGTCTGCTGGATGTGTAAATACTGTTTAGCTAACAAGTATGAATTGTGTTCACAGCTGTTTTTGCTGTGGCAAAAAGTATTAGCTAATGCGGTTTAAAATCATAAACCAAACTATGGCACTAAATACCGTCAAGCATATTCATCATTATTGAAAAATCTAAATTATATTACATAATGATATTTAATCATATTAAATATGCAATAAATTAGCTATTGAATACAGTATATGGACTGTACTTTCACAGTAGCAAACAAACACATTTGTCTGACAGTGGTGTTAGAGTGGTGGTTT